TTCATAAACAGGTACTTAGATTGCTCTTTTCTTCTACATCTTTCCGACATCCGCATCATAGCGAGACCTTTCAAGAAAGTGTGGCCATGGACTTGAACACGGTGTTTCCTGATCTGAGCTTAGCCCTTCAGTTATCATGTCCAGAGGAATTGATTAAGGATTCTGTGCCCTTGAATTTGGAGTACGCGCACTTGTCGCAGCTTTATAATCAGCCGCGGGGGGGTAAGCCAAAGGTCTCGTAGCATCACCACAGTCTAATCATAGCAAGGGTTCTCAATACCATTCGCTCATTGCGTTTGTCACTGAGTTAGAGCTGCCACCATCATTGCCATCGTCCCCTAGTCTCTCCTCATACTTACCGGAGGGGAATTTACAGGTGTGGTTACCTTCACTGAGACATCCATTGGCAATGCTATGGAATTTAACTAGGAGTCTGCTTTCTATAGCTCCAGCCTCTCAACAAAGATGGAACTTTAGACATCTATCCATGCTCGTGTTGATAAAACGAACACATACAAGTGAAAACCTACGACCATCATTCCTCTTCATAAACACGAATGCGAGAAGTAGCAATTAATTCCCTCGTAAAAATATATTTTCTTCCAAAAAATTGTATTCACCACTAAAAAATACCCTACGCCCCGCCAAAACGGCCTAGACCCCATAAAATGCCTTTGATGAAATAAGTTACTTTATTTTCAATTTTATATTTTTAATTTATATATATTTTTATTTTTATAAAATTAATTATGATGTAAAAAATTTTTTTTTTTGAATTTCTAATTAATTTTTACCCTATATAAATTGAATTTATAGTTTGATATTATTTTTACGCCCCCGCTGCGGGCCGCGCGCTGTGGTAATTATTTTTAACGTGCCCAAATAATTTGTGATTCTGAGAATCATCTACACGTTGTGTGTCTATTTCTCTAACACTAATAAAGAGGTTCTCCTTGCATTTTTTATACTGTCTATTGTTTTGCATTCGCGAAGCCAGATTTTGCGTGGCACTGATGGGCTTCTTTCGTATTGTTATCAATCAGTGTATTTTAAATTGTGGTGGTTCTTAAGCACCTTATGCGATTTGATTTTTTTGTCTTTCTCCATGACGTTTAATAATTTTAGTGTCTTTTTCTTAAAGTTGTGTTTATGGAATACATTATACTTTCTATGAACTGTTTTGTTATACTTTTTTGTAATATTTCAATATTATTTTTTTTCATTCAATTAACACTTTTTGCTCTATTGTTGAGATCAAATTTATCAGTCATATAGTAGTATAATGCAAGATAATTTCAACGTGGTTAGATTAATAAATGATTCCTTTATTTTCGGAAACTTGTTTTTTAAAATTATTTCCAGTTTAATAGAACCGACTTTGAATGAGTCATTATAAAAAGATTGCAATATTTAATATACTGCGTGGTGGTGTTGCCTTGACAATAATTTCTCATGATGGAAACATTATAGTCCCACGCCAGCGCAGTGCAGCACGTTTCTTGAGGGGTAGTCCATAGTCTATGGCTTAAATTGTGAGGTGTGCAGGCAGTCCTCTCCCTGTTGTGGCCCCAGGTTTGTCGTCAATATATTTTGCACAGTTAGAGGGTGATTTGTTTAAGGTACGAAGTTAAACCTATATGAGTTTGATTGAATTTTTTCTGTTATATTTTACATATCTGGCTTTGAATAGTTTTTTATTTGCGTGACTGCGGTATGTTTCAAAATCTAAAGGCTCATCTGTATCCATGATTTCAATAACATGTATCGATGAGTTTTGTGACGAGCCTGATGGCTAAGCTAGGTTGGACTTCCTAGGATGTAAGAACGAGGAACGAACTTCACATTGCATTGTGTGATGTGTTATGAGTTCGTTATATTTTCATTATATTTTTTTTTTTAGATTTCCAAGACATATTTCGCGTCTGGGCATCGTAAGAGGTCTGTGTAACTCTGTGGTTATTCGAAAAAGATAACTCAAAGCGTAGGATTCCACCTGGAGTGCTTTATTTTTAAGGATATTCCCCTTCTTTCGTTTTGGTTTTCTTCATCCTTTATACTACGGAAGCTTGTGTGGTTGCTATGAATCCAAAGGTTTGTACCTCGTATTATTAATTCTTGTCTGCATATCTTTCCCCCTGTGAGTGTGCTAGTTGTGTGCAGAGTTTCAGGGAGGGGAGTTGAAGTATTTGAGTGCGCGTAAGCTCTAGATTTGGTATTCTAAAAAACTTTCGAAGTCGATATATATATATGCGGGTAGATTAAGAATATAGAGAGTTGTGCCTCACCTTTCAGCAACGGTTTGATTGATTTTTTATCCTTCCCTGTTGTGTTGCTGTTTTTAGGCTGCACTATTACCTTTTATGATTTTTTAATTTAATTTTATCATTAGCCATGAATTCAACCTTTTCAAAATTATGCCCTGAGACTCATGAAAGTGTGGCCGAGCTGGAAGATTTTTTTATGCTTCTTGATACTGGAGGTGATGGGTTTGTGCATGTCAACATGTTAAGGGAACTTTTTATATCAACTGTCCCTAGGATGACAGAAAAAGATTTTAATAACCTCTTAGCTGAGTGCCAATTCGATCAAATGGAACAATTGGCGTTTGAGCAGTATTACGTATTGTCAGCGAAACTTAAGAACCTATCTGTACTCTCATTATCGGCTGCCCAGCTCAACGATTGCGTTAACCTGGAAGAAGTATTTGCTCCATTCGACCCAAATGGGACAGGCTATGTTAGTTACTCAGTTTTTAATGCTCTGATGACAAAAAAAGGGGATCAGTTGTCTTCCTGTGAGGCAACTGAGATGAGGCTGCGGCTTGAGAGGGTAGGGTTGCTCAAGAGGGACCGAGTAAATTATCGAATGTTTATTAGTAGTATTTCTGCATGCGATATTCTGGTTTGATATAAATTCTTTTATTATATATATATATATATGAAGTTAGTCAGATCATTCCTCTTTTTTATTTTTACATGTTTGTAGAATTCTTTTTTTAATGTTTTACAACTACGACAACTAAAAAGAAATGTATTTGGACACGTAAAGAATTTATGTCATTTTGAGTTTCGTTCATTATTCTAATATTGCAAAAAATCCCTTTCTTATCACTGCGCCAATTTTAATTTAGTGACAAAAGGGAAATATGAGACAGTATCATTTTTTAAAAGCCAGTCTGAGACGCGTTTCCGATGAATGTCGAAAGAACCCAGTGCAAGTTCTGACCGCAGCACTCCTTGTATTATCGCTTTATGTGGGGACAGTTATGCTTTTCTTCGGTATGAATTTTTGGCTTTGGTCGTTTACTCCCGGTATCAAACGAAGCTATTCGGTAATGTTCATCGCCTCTCTTTCATGGTGTATTCTTTTCATTTTCACAGTCTTTATTCATTGGTTATACAACTGGTTTTGGAATCGAAAGGTGGAAAATTACTTTTTTTGGGTAAACAGAAGGGGTGTGCTTCTTTTATTTTTAATTGGAGCATTTGATTCCCTTACCGGTCTCACCGCATCATATTCAAGCATCCACGTTCCACAGATTCTACAATCCGCTTTAATATCTACGGGTCCAATATGGACTTTTATTTTAGCATACTTTTTTTTCCCATCCAGCCAGCCGAAGTTTAATTTATTTCTGCTTATCGTTCCTATATTCATTATCGGAGGGGTCGTATTTGCAACAATACCCCAAGTCCTCGATAAGTCAGGCAAGAATTCATATTTTCATCTACCGTGGATACTTATTTACCTTCTCGGTACCGCATTGTTCCCGTTATACAACGTTATCCAAGGTCGCTTTTCACATGAATTTAAGGATCATGCTTCTTCTTTGACATGCAAATTAGTAATGCTTTGTGGAGAGACAACTATACAGTTTATTCTATGCATTATGTACTTTCCAATTGACTTTTCACCATTTTTTGGTAAATGCACATATCCCAAGGAATCTTGGGATAATTTTATTGAAAGCCTTTCTTGCATTTATACATGCAAAAATAATGCCATTTATATGTTAATCTATGTTATGGGCTTTTATATTCGTCATATTGTATTTGCCTACCTAAACTCGTATTCCCCAAGTGTGGCAGCCATAACGAGCATGCTTACACAGCCAATAAATGCTTTTCTTCTTTTGGTAATACCTTCCTGGAATGTTTATGGTTCAAAGAAGGATTGGCGCTGCATATTAGGAAGCTTTTTATGTCTTCTTATCGCGATGCTAACATTTATGCTTTGGCATATAACTTTCAAGACATTATCAAATGAATCGTATGGTGATGATGAGGACATTGAAGATGAAAAAAATGAGGCTAAATAACATGTGTGATCATTATTTTCAACCAATATTAGAAAAACTGAGTCTATCAATAGGCTTGACTACGCTGGGATATCAACTTTTGTTAATGTGATTGACAGGATTTAAGCAATTTTAATGGGTTTTATCTGGGTTGAAAGATATTACATCACCTCTTCTTAAAATGCGAACCGAAGTGCATTTTTCATAAAGAATTCTAGTAAATAAATATATCTTCCTACTTCTCCCAAGACACATATATGCATTATTTTAGGGCTTTAATTTATTCAGAATGGGTTTATTAATTTACATTGCACAATCAATCGTGTGATGAGAGACGTTCAGGGGATTTATTTCTGAGGTATTTTCTTTCTACGAATTTATGTATTTTTTTCTTTTCCTTTTTCATTTTATTAAGGACTAATTAGTTTGTTTTTGCACGATTATTTCTGAGCTCTTCAAAATATTTGAGTTTAACTAGTTTGATGCATAACTGGAATGCCACCATCAAGAAAAACTGACGAGCAACACAGCCTAACGCGAATCGCCGTCGTTAATGCCGACCGTTGCAAGCCACGGAAATGTAACCTGGAGTGCCACAGATGTTGCCCTGTTGTCTTACAAGGTAAACTATGCATTGAAGTTACCAATCAGAGTACCGTTTCAAAAATTTCCGAGGAACTTTGCATCGGGTGTGCCCTTTGCGTGAAGAAATGCCCCTATGATGCAATTCGTATTATTAATCTACCTTCAAATTTAAATAAAGATACAGTTCATAGGTACGGTCCAAATAGTTTTAAGCTTCATCGTCTTCCATTACCACGCCCTGGCCAAGTTTTAGGCCTTGTTGGTGCTAATGGAACCGGCAAATCTACTGCTTTGTCAATTTTAAAGGGAAAGATAAAGCCTAATTTGGGCCGCTATAAGGATGAACCAGGCTGGGATGAAATCTTGAAGTATTTTCGGGGTTCAGAGCACCAGGCATACTTTCAGCATCTTATAGACGATGAGCTTCGAGTTCTTCTCAAACCACAATACGTTGACAAAATTCCTAAAGTCACGAAAGGTATCGTTGGTGAGCTTCTCAAAAAGGTTGATGAAAGAGGAATGAGGGATGAATTAATGAATGTTTTGGAGCTAAAAAATATTGCAGATCGATCTCTGGATAAGCTTTCTGGGGGCGAGCTTCAACGCTTCACCATAGCGATGCTATGCGTTCAGAATGCAGCTGTTTACATGTTTGATGAACCTTCAAGCTATCTTGATGTTAGACAGCGCCTCACAGCAGCCCAAGTTATTCGTTCCATGCTAACTCACACGAACTATGTCATCATAGTTGAGCATGACTTGTCTATTTTAGACTACATGTCCGATTTCATCTGTGTCCTGTACGGTGTCCCCGGTATCTATGGCGTGGTAACAATGCCGTATGGTGTTCGTGAAGGAATTAACATCTTCCTGGACGGCTTTGTCCCCACAGAAAATCTGAGGTTTCGGGATGAAAGTTTGACTTTTAATATATCAGATGATGTTGAGGAAGGAATTAGGAAACGTCATTCCACGATGGAATACCCTTCAATGACCAAGAAGTTGGGCTCATTTTCACTGAGTATTGACTCAGGAAGATTTTCTGATTCTGAAATCATTGTTTTATTAGGTGAAAACGGCTGTGGGAAAACAACATTTATACGAATGCTTGCCGGGCATATCCAACCAGATAATGGAGTGGAAGTTCCTCAGTTATCCATTAGCTATAAGCCTCAGAAAATAGCTCCTAAGTTTGAGGGTACAGTCCGTGATCTCTTACAGACAAAGATCTACGACATGTTTATTCACCCTCAGTTTCAGGCGAATGTCTTGAAGCCATTGACCATTGAAGAGCTCCTTGATCAGGAGGTTCAAAATCTTTCGGGAGGCCAGCTACAACGTGTGGGTCTATGCATTGCACTTGGTACACCAGCTAATATTTACCTGATTGATGAACCTAGTGCGTACTTGGACTCCGATCAACGTATCATTGCCTCCCGCGTGATCAAACGCTTTATTTTACACAGTAAGCGAACTGCTTTCATTGTCGAGCATGATTTTGTTATGGCGACTTATCTTGCTGATAGGGTCATCTTATATAATGGAACACCAGCAGTTGATTGTACTGCCAATACCCCTTGTGGGCTTCTGGAGGGGATGAATAGGTTTCTAAGAAATCTAAGTATTACTTTCCGTCGTGATCCCACGAATTTTCGTCCACGTATTAACAAGCTGGACTCTGTGAAAGATCGTGAACAAAAGGCATCTGGTAATTACTTCTATATGAACGACTATGCAGAGGATCCTAAGACAAAGGATCCAAAAAATAAGAACACAGAGGAAGTGAATGGGGATGGATCGTTTGCCAAAGCACATGGGAAGGGAAACTATGTTTCTGAGAATATTGGAAAGGACAATCATCATAAAGTGAGTAAAAGGAGAAATCAAGCAATAAAAAAAATCACTTAATCTAAACATGTTATCTGACTTAATACCAATTAAAACTTAATTCTTAGGTTAGTATTTAAGTAAAAAAATTTCTATTTCTATTATAAATATACTGACGATATCCTTTGAGCTCTTTTCATTTATTTATTTTTTATTGTGTTGAGATAAACTTGTTGAAGTTTCTATTTTTTTCTTTTTCTTTTTTACCGTTTCGTCAGTAGGTAAGCTTTCAAAGGACACGTAAACAGGAATCAGTCTTCGTTCCGCTTACATTTTCTGCATAACTTTATACTCACAAAAATTTCTACAACTATGGCTGAGTTAGAACTAATTGCCGTTCGTGTAAAAGATGGAATTTTCATTGGCAATATAACCGCGGCGGAGGACGGAGAATTTCTTAGCATGAATAAAATTACTCACATTATAAATTGCACAGGTGATGAGATTGGTAATTTATTTGCAGGTAATCCACAATTTAAATACATATCGTTTCCATGGAAAGACACTCTTAGTTCAGTCTGTCCTACTATGCTATTCGATGTCAGTGACGAGAACATCAATCGCGCGGTTCAGTTTATTGATGAGGCTGTAAATTCTGGAAATTGCGTTTTAGTTCACAGTTGCTACGGAATTTCTCGAAGTCCCACATTAGTTGCAGCCTACTTGATGATAAAATACGATTGGAAACTTGAAAGTGCATTCTCATTTTTGCATATGTCTCATCCTGATATGCTGATAAAGCCACATTTCCTTCGTCAGTTGCGTTTGTTTGCTAAGCGGCACCATATTGATTGTGATATATTTGATAAAGAGGTAAATGACAGCGAGTTTGGGTTAGACAATGATCAATGGATGCTTCGCAACACTTTTCTGAATGGACTTTGCTTTCAAGAACAGCAATTACATGAGCTCCACCGCAAATGCACAGCAAAGATAGATGTAGGAACCCGCATACACACCGAAAGGAATAAACCCCGTGTATCATTTGTTGATAATGTTCGTAGGGGAAATGTTGATGTAGTCAAAAACACTTCGTTAACGAATACGAAGTCTGTTCGTCATTTGGACCCATACACTGATACTGCTTCGGATAACTCGATTTCTTCGCGGGGCCTGATTGCCCTGAGTTTTGGAGAACGGTCGCTTAGTATAATGAACCGTAGTTCATCTCCGTGCACACGCAAGTTAGAGTCAGATTCCGTGACTTGTCCCAAGGGCCGAGGACTATTTGGGTTGGTATCTAAAGAGAACCAAAGCGACGATTCATTCCATTCTACTGCGACTACAACGCAGAATTTTACACGTTCTAATAGTAAACAATTTTCTTTTTTGAGAAACGGCAGCGATGAAAATAGGGATAACCAAGTAATTTTAACGCCGGCATTGGAGGAAACTATGCATCTTTCAACTGCTACATCATCTTCAAATTTGCCCAACTATGAGCGTATGGCTCCGCCAAAGAGCAGCATATCATCTCACCATTCTCCGTATGCGAGACTTACACCTAAACATGTTTACCGCAAAGGGTCCCCTCTTCCTATTCAAAACACCACACAACCCAAAGTATCGCGAGCAAAACATTCCTCAGTGCCTCTATCCCGGCCTTCTCGTAGCAATTCGCCATCTTCGTCAGATATCAGTGCGTCTAATCGTTTTTTTTCACAGAAAATCGATAGACTTGGTTCATCAACACAAAATGGGTTAGTCTCAGTTACCACCTTATCAAAGCAAGATACCTCCACAATTGTTCGTTCAACATCGTCAGATTATGTTTCTATTGCGCCTCGAAGAGCAGTGCAGTCTTCGTCGGCAAAGCCAGTGGACAATTCTCAGATGTCGACAAACAATCGGCCCATGATCACTCGCCGCTATTCACCCAGTGCTCGCATTCCACAGGTCCTTAGAAAGTCTCGAAGCCCATGTTCAAAGCCTGGATTTCCTCCTCAAAATGACCTGAGTCCGAGAGTCATTAGAAAGAAGGGCAGTGAGTCCACGTCAATTCAGTCTACCCGTAGTGGTGCCCTCACAGGAGCTTCAAAATTTCCAAGAGCGAATGCGTCATTTGCTTCCGATAACTTGAGTGGTATTGTGCCAAAGAAAGCTCCAAGTCTTAGTGCGCCATGTTCTGGGATGTTACGACGGGAACCACTTACATCTATTCCATCCCGACCAAAATAGAAACTTAATATGTAAGCATAAATATTAACTTCAGGGAAATACAGTGAGATGAAATTCTGTTTGTTTGTTTGCACTGTTAGCCATTTTTTTTTCTTGTGACGCCGAGACATTTGGATACTTTCTTCCGATGGTTGCATTTGTTTGTTTAATAAACTTTAAAATGTATTTTTCTTCCTGTTCAAGTAAGTCCGAAAAAAAAACAATTATGTTTTTCTTCGTTTTTTTATGGTCGCTCAATTTCTTTATAGCAATAGGATGCGTTTTTAGCACGTAGCTCTTTCTTTATTTTTTCTGTTTGCCAAATTTCTAGTCAAGGTATAATACAAAATGCCTTTTTCTTTGTCTGAAACGGTTATTTAATTAAATCTATAAATAAAATCAAGAGGTAACGCAACTAAGTTATGCTTCAAAAGGGCTTTCCCTCTTATCTACTCTTGAAGCTGACATATTCAAACATTGATCTGGAATAGCTTTCAAACCGTTTTCAAAAGTTTTTTGTTGTTGTATGGCTACATACAGCTTCCATGAACTTGCTTCCAATTTCACGAATAAACTTCACAATGGTCCAAATATAGAATTCCTATGTTGAAGTAGCGCAGCATCTCAGCAAGATCTGTTTCTGCAGGTATGGCGAAGATGTCCTTTGGAGTGATATACTTACACTGGGCGCTTCCATGGTTGTCAAATTGTACGGCGTTGGGGCCTTGCTAAAATCGTTTGGATTGTGGTTAGTTTCTGTGGCAAGCGAAGTGCAGTCCACAGTGTTGCTGAGTAGAGTCTTTCTGCAGGGTTGGTTGAAAAGGGTGTTCTGCATCAGAGTGTTTGGGTTGGTCGTGGAAACCTATGAATTTCTCTTGACGATTTACGCAAATTTTACTGGTGGTACTCATTAGGGAACACCAACATTAGTGGTGGTCCTAGATCCCTCTAACTACCCATTTGAGGGGAGACGTCTTCTCTGTTCAAGTTTCAGTGTCGTCCCTCAAGGGCTTCAGAATTTGCGCCGGTCAGGTGGGTTCCACAAGTTCATATCTGCGCAACTGCTTTCCTGTGATGAGGGTCAAGCCACCTTTGAATCTTTAGACGATCTTTGGAGGGCCACACCCATGAAAGTCTTTTTACACCACACTAGAAGGTGTCTCACTATTGCCGTTTGGTCGTAGAGTTAAGCCAGCAATGCTATACTAGGGCAATGCATTCTTAGGTTTAGTAGTCTTCACTACTTTTACTAGAAGATCAATAAAATATTGTAGTTAGGATTGGAATGATTTAAGTTGAAAACATGGCATTTTATTTGTCAATGAGCTGATGCTTTTTCTAACTTGTGTGCTTTTGCCTATCAAAGACACTTTAATGCTTCACTCTTAAGTTCGGAGGGGACGGGGGAGGGGGGGGGGGGGGAGATACCTATGTGTAGCTTGATAGTGATTGTGTGATGTTTAGTATCAAGTGAGATGACTGTGCGCCAATTTTAGACGGAGGGATCGCAGTTATAAATGAAACTGAGGATGCTTTGGAGTCAGTTTTGAATATATGTAGTGGTCGCAGGCTCATTCTAGAGAGTCTGAAGCACTATTAAAAGATGCCATTGGTAACGCTGGTTATAGTTTCATTTGACATTGCCCCTAGACATGGCACCCAATCAGTGTGGTGAGGGTTGAGGTTCCTGGGTTTAAAAGTTAGGCGTTTACTACATGACAATCAAGATCAGGGTGTAGTAGACAAATAATTAGAACTTCAACAGGGTTCGTTTCAAGCTTTACTGGATCCATTTACGCTTTAAGGAAGGAGTTGATACAAACTGGGGTAGAGGCACGGATCCCTTGGCCGTCGTGGCGAGATTCGAAGAATCAATAGCTAGCCACTTTGGCTTTTTCGGCTCGATTGTTGTCTTTCATAATTTTCTGTAATGCTAAACTATATATATATATTCAGTAGTACAAGCACAGAATATCTTCATTCGGTCTGTGTGCAGATAGATCCCATTCTCTGAACTGAAGAAGTTCGGGGTCCCGTTAAACTTCCTCAGATCAGAGTTCGCTGGAGACAGTTGGATTGTCTTTCTAGTCAACCTATGAATCTACAGAAGTGTCGAGAGAGGTGTATAACTGTGAATCAGTTAGCTTTGCCTTATTGAGTAGAGTTTCTGCTGATGGGGCATTCATGTGATAGTGCAGTCAGGCCACTATTGCTGTCTCTTGATAGGAAGTAGACTGCAGGTCCCTGGCTTCCCTCAGAAAAGGATACTGCTTTGTGGAGTCATGATGAGGTGCCTGGAAACGATTGCGAATTAGAAAAGATCTTATTGCCCTTAATGATCGATAAGTATTACATATTAGTATGTTTTTTGTAAGCTGAAAAAAACAATATTTGCACTTTTAACTTTGTATGTTTTGCTACTATTTTGAGATATTATACTTTACACACATCATCCTTTTTATATCCGGCAGTGCGTCGTCCTCAGGGCACAATATTGCTTTTTTTTTTTACTGTAGAGAAGCAATGATCGATACAGCTGACAATCATGTAATTTTAGATGAAGGAGGTGAGTTCTTTGACGAAGACCCTACGGTAGGTCGGGGTGTTCCTTCTGATCCAGCCGGTTATATAGCATGGAAACCCTTGCAACCGGCACCCTTAACTCCAACAATTTTAAATGCTGTTAAAAGTAGCGTGTCCGAGGCCGCAACTAATTAGAAAGGAGTTAAAAGGTGACGCTTGGTTGTTCATTAGGACTATACATTAGCGAAATCAAAGGAAGGGTTATTATTATGAGCTGATCTATGAAAATACGCATAGAAGTGTTATGGCACTGAATACTTGTCGCGTTATGGTTGATATTGAGTTGAAAAATCAGAAGGGGTCAATTATGCGCCGATAACGTCAAAGTATAATTTAAGATCACAAGTGCTAATGGTGTAATATTTATTATAAGTGGAATTCCATATTTTTAACACCTACTTCCTTTTACAACAAACTTATTGCAATACAGGAAGGTATGTCTTACAATATCCGAAGGCTAAGATTCTTTGTTGATGATGTTTATGGAAGTTTACAAGAGAATCAGACAGTAGCCGAGCAGTTTTTTTTATCTGAAGACGATCACGAATTGGAAGAAATGATGTGCATGATGGTACCTTATGCACATTATAGCAGCTTTTGGGGCGTGGCTCGTGATGAGCTGGCAACAAAGGCGGTGCATACTCAGGAAAAGGAATATCTTCGGTTGTCATGGACAGGTGGGATAACACCGTTGACTTCAAGTACATTTATCCGTGCAGGTTATGCTCATCTTACGAAAGGAAGCTTTCTGTCGGACTTGCCGATAGTTGGCCCTGCGTTGTCTATGCTTTTTCAGGAGAGGGTTATCGAGTCATTGGTAGTGCGAAACGGAAAGATCGTTTTTCGTGATTTAGGGTATAATTGGAGGCTTGGGGTTCATTAATCCTAGATCCTTTAAACTTTTTTTTTATGATGAAGAACTTGCGATGTTCCTATTAATACACTGATTTTATATTTTAACTTTCACAACATTCTTTAGTCATGTTATTATACATACTCAGTTCATTACCGCGTTCACCATTTCATTGTACTAGCTTTCTCCACACTCTAGGACTGTTGTTGAGAATGAGTATTAATGATCAGGAAAAATTAACCAAAGTTCCTAATGTCGCTCTTTTAGATACCGCTGGTTATGCATCTGATTGCAACTTTTCTGCGCTTATTCCTCAGCATGCGATGAAGCCGTATCGTTTGCTCGCTACAATGGAGCTAATTCGGGCCCTCAAGATCGATCAGAATTGTAGAATTGTGGTGCCACCGCTTGTCAAGTCAGGAGAGCTTACCCAATACCACGCTAAAGCATATTTGGCCAACTTGGGATTGCATGACTGCTGCAGTTGGCGGTGGAGCCCTGAAACATCTAAGGCATTTTTTTCTGGAGACTGTCCACCTGCAGAGGGTCTCATGGAGCATTCCTTGGCTACCGCGAGTGGCACTCTTATGGGGGCTGTCCTTCTTAACAGTGGACAGGTAGATGTGGTCATGCATTGGGGGGGTGGCATGCACCATGCCAAGTGTGGCGAGTGCTCTGGATTCTGTTATATCAATGATATCGTATTGGGAATCTTAGAGTTGCTGAAGTGTCATGAGCGTGTACTGTACATAGATCTGGATATGCACCATGGAGATGGTGTTGATGAGGCATTCTGCGAGAGCGATCGCGTGTTTACGTTGTCTTTACATAAATTTGGTGAAAGTTTTTTCCCAGGAACTGGGCACCCCCGAGATGTTGGGTACGGTCGTGGCCGCTTTTACACTATGAATCTTGCTCTATGGGATGGTATTAATGATTTTTTTTACATTTCTATCTTCAAGCACGCATTACATTGCATTACTTTCCATTATCGCCCAAATGTGATCGTACTTCAATGTGGTGCCGATTCTTTAGCAGGGGATCGCTTGGGTCTTTTCAACCTCTCATCATGGGGTCATGGAGAGTGCGTACGGGAGGTAAAGAGTCTGGGTTTACCACTTCTGGCTGTTGGAGGAGGTGGGTATACAATTCGAAACGTTTCTAAGTTGTGGGCCTACGAGACAAGTATCTTGTGTAACTTTCCCATTCCAGTTCATGCCAGAATACCTTTCAGGGCGATGCCATGCACAGGGTGGCTCTTCGAGGATAGCCCCTTTCTTCTTGTGCCAAGGGATGAAAGTCATCGTATTTCTCCTCTCTGCCACCCCCGGGAAGCGTATCAAATTATTTTAGACCAGATCGATCGCAACGTGTCAAAGATTAGAGTTGGTTCCCTGCAGAGCAATCTTACATGTGTTGTGAAGTGTGGAGAGGATGAAGAAACAAGCTTCATTCGGAACGAAACCTGTCATGATTAGAGAGAGAGTGTGTGTTCCAAAAATATATTTCATACGTATATGCATACAAAAGTATATTTGTAAACATTTTTGATTAGGAAAAAATACAATATAGCTCATCTATGCATCCATTGATCATTAGTTTAGTATGAGCATAAAAACTTCATGCACATATGTACTGGAGATTGTGTTCAGTTTTATTAAATTTAGTACATTAAATTTGTCCTCATCTTGTGTCGTTTCAGGTTTGAATAGTATGCATCGTTTATTTTAAGAAATATTTTAACACATTCATATATACAATATTGAATGCGGAACGCTAACCCAGAGTGTGTGGGGCCTGAAAGCGAGCAGGCTGGTACAGCGCCTTCGTGCCAGGGCTGTCCTAACGCTGCACTTTGTGCAGCTACACCCAAAGGTCCTGATCCTGACATTCCCATAATTCGAGAGCGTCTACAAGGTGTTAAGCATAAAATTATGATTATCAGTGGTAAAGGCGGTGTGGGAAAAAGCACAGTATCTAAGGAGTTAGCATTTGCCTTAGGATCCCGCGGTATCAATGTCGCACTAGTGGATTTAGACATCTGCGGCCCATCTCTTCCACGTCTTACCGGTGTGAGAGGGGAAGATGCCCATCAAAGCTCTGGTGGCGTCGAGCCTGTTTTGATCGACAACACTGTGACCATGATGTCCATGCATTATTTACTGGATAATAAGAACGAGGCGGTACTGTTTAGGGGCCCGAGGAAGAATGGCGTTATCAAGTTGTTCTTGAAAGACGTGATGTGGGGAGAAGTGGATGTAATGCTTGTCGACACACCACCTGGCACCTCTGATGAGCACATCACATTGAGCAACATTTTGCTACAAACTGGCGGTGTGGATGGGGCTGTGCTGATTACTACTCCGCAGCGCGTGGCTGAGGCGGATGTTAGACGTGAGCTTAACTTTTGCGTGAAGGCCAAACTGCCGGTACTAGGCATTGTAGAGAACATGAGTGGCTTTGTTTGCCCAAACTGTAAACGTGAGAGCGCTGTCTTCCCAAAAGAACGCACAAAAGGAGGCTTGATGGAGGGTGCTGGTGTCCGCCTTAGCCGTGAGTTTTGCGTTCCTTTATGGGGAACCATTCCACTGGATCCTTATTTAATGAAGGCATGTGAGGAGGGAATAGCTCTCTCAGAATTCGCTGAGCAGAAGGAAGAAGCACAGGAGAGCTCGACACTAAAGGAACTTCAAGTAATAGTGGATCACTTAATTTCAGCATTGGGCCTGGGGGTATGCTGAAAATTTGTGGAAAAGGTATAAGCAGTTGTAGAGGGGTACAGTCCAAAGGAGGAAGTATCGATTTCCCCTTCTTGCTGAATCGAACTATTTTCTACATATAAGCAAGCGGTGCATTTTAATAAAGCTTAATCACTATAGAGTCGCTGAATGTTTCTTAAAAGATGACCACTTAGTGCATTTTCTTCGCTGTAGCTCATCATGATTTTCCCTTCCACTTGTTCTATATTTCGTGTATAAACTCGCCTATTATTTTAGGAAAAAGAGTGCTAAGAAGCATGTAAACAGAATCCTTTGCATACATACTCACTTGGCCAAAAGAAGAAAAGTGTGACCTTGCCTTATATGCTAGTATCCATGATATTTTAATGAGGAGTGTCCTGTTGTTGATTTTCTAATGTTCGGAGATTCCTAAAAGATTTTTACTGCTGTCCCTTTTTTTTTTGCAGTATCATGTGTGTTTTCCAATGGATATTATTATTGCTTGTTATCATCGATTTTTTTGAGGAGAATCTAGAGAGTTGTAACACACTGAGGTTGTGAATAGGCTGTCCTTTTTCGCATTTGCTGTGAATGTCTAAGGCAATAGTAATTCACGATTTAGGCTTGGCGATGTATACATTGCCGTACTCAATAGTACCATCTTTTCCCTCCCTAACGAAATTTGGTTACATCTGACTGAATCCTTTTTTGAGTCACTATTAGCAGTATTGTTGTCATTACTGCTACTACCACTTTAGTTTCTTATTATCTGAGTTCTCATCTGTATCTCGTATTTTTAACTTTCAACCAAATTATCATGTAAATTTGGAGCCAAGTGTGATATTTGTTAACTCTTTCCCGTGTTATTTTTGCTCTAGTATGGGATGTCGTTAGCCTGAAGACAACAAACTCGCTACCAGCAATTGGATAAAGTCTATGTGCTCGGTGAGCTCCTCACTCCTGGTTTTAGACGAGTTCTTGCTGCATTAGTTGTTCAAATCTTTCTCACCCAAATGGGATTCGACATGGGCTTCTATAAGTCTTAAATACGTGTCTACTGAGGCATTAAGAGTACCATGAACACATGTAGTTGTTTAAGTATTATAATTTTATTTCCTTTTTTTTTGTAAGGAAGTCATTTTTCACCTACGTTGGCATGATGAATGCTGATGGATCGCACTCCTTATTTCCACTTGTGTGCATTCGTATGGGCTCACCCAACTTCGATGAACACCGGAGCCTTGTTGACGATAAAGGAGTAACTGGTGCCTTGGAATACGTCAAATAATACAAAATCAGAAAAATTGTCGTTATTGGATTATATTGAATAACACCATGGCATTTGTTAAAGCCATATATATATATATATATATATATATATATATATATATATACTA